GGCACCTGATTTGTATGATCTTCCCTAAAATGCCACTGGCCCACACTGCATTCCTGTCTTAGGCAAAACCTCCAATTAAAATCAGCAGGGAGTTTGCTTGAATTAGGAATCCCAGCCTGGGCTCCCGCCCAGGTGGCTCTGAAAAGGAGGTGTGTGCCTTTGAAAGCACTGATGGGAAGCCCTGGGTGGCATAGCCTCCCTCCTCGAATGACGAGCGACTCCATGCTGTGTCACTGGGAGACCTGTCATGTCGCCAGAAAATCCTGGCTGAGGCAAAGACAGGGCCTGCGGGTGAGCAGCGGAGTCTCCGTCACCCAGAGCCCAGCTTCTCTTCCAGTCTGGGTTTTAGAGGATAGGAAAAGCATAGCGGGCTAACTGAGGGAGCACTGCGTTTGGATCCAGAAATCCTGAGCTCTGGTGTGCCCCATCCATATGCTGTGTGGCCGAGGGAAAGTCACAGCCCCTTTCTGGCCTTCAAAGCTAATCAGTAGAATGGAAATCGCCAAGGAGTCCCGCCTCCTGGGCTTGATGAGAGGAGAAAGGGAAAACTGCCGTGATGGAGAAAGCACTCCGGAGACGTGGGTCCTCCACCAGAGCATGAGGTCTCAGTGCTCAGGCCTGAGCAGAAGAGAGATGGGCTGAGCGTTTCCAGGGCCGCGCTGGATCTTCCCCTTCTGTGGCCCAGGCTGCCTCCTGTGAGCCTCGTGGGTGCCCACCAGTGGGCTTCAGAAATAAAAGTGCCTCTTCCTGCCCTCCCGCCCTTCCATCCTCCTTTCGCCCTCCCCACAGCCCCCCGTCAGAATGAACTGCAATCCCATCCAACAGAAAGATGCTGATTTAGACGTATTGGAGTTCAGCTTTGGCTGCAAACGCAAGAAGCTTTGGATCCCCAGGGACAGAGAAAAGCATTTTAAAACTTGGTCCTCACTGCCTGGAACTGACTGCCTTGCAGTTGGGGCTGTGTCAGCCCTTGGTGAGACCCCTCCCTCCAGCTGGCCTATTAAGCCGTCCTCTGTCGCCAGGGCTGAGGCAGGCTGTCACCAGCTAGCCTGGGAAATGTTATTTATAGATCGCATTTCCTCTTACCCCTGGTCCCCAGCCTCTCCCTATCCACTTGTCGTGTGAGCTCCAATTACCTGCGAATGGAGGAGAAGGATCCTGGCGGGTCCAGAGGAAGTGAGGGATGGGATAATAGGCTCTTCACATGCTCAGACTTTTGGTATTTTTCAATTTATTTCTCTTTTTGTGGCCTGCTTACTTCTTGCCTCGTTGTTATAATTTTACATTATGGTACGTCGCAGAAAGTGCACCCATTCTGGAGTTCGAGACCCTGGTATCTGAATGTGGAGGACCTTGGTGATCTGAGGCAAGTCGTCTCCCTTCTCCAGGCCTTGTCTTCATCTGCAGCGGGGATAGTTGGCTGTGCTGCTCGGCTAGAGCCCCCAGCACAGTGCTAGGTATACAGCGGGTGCTCAGTAGGTAATCAGTTGTAAGCCACTGGTTGCCTTGGCCAGCTTAGGATGCTGCCTTCTATTGAGCATTGCAGGATTTCGGAATATCGATAATTACTACCTAGAGCGCTGGCTGGAGATGGAGAAGGTATAGGAGATGGATCTGATTCAGGCAGATGCCTCACTGTTGGAAGTTCCTTGGTAAGGACAAACACACGAAAAACTGGAATGATCTGGTGTTTCTGGCTTTACTCTTCTCGAGGTTATTTAAAAGCAAAGGCAAGTTCCTGACCGTGGGAGTCAGGACTCAGTAGCAACATTGCTTCCCCTCTGGTCCCTCTCCCCCCTTCTTGAGAAAAGGAAGACTTGCCCTCCCATGGCCCACCCAGTGTCCACATTCCCCGAATCTGTGGGTCAGGACAAGGGAAGGTGTGGCTGCGTTTCTTTGGTCTGCTCCTGCCCACTCCGATTTCCTTCCATCACCTTCCCCTCTCCAGGTGCCCCTGCATCGTTCTGTCTAGCTCAGGCTCCTTCCCCGCCCCCAGCTCCTCTCCAATCACCCTTCCTCAGGCTTCACCTCTCTCCCTTCTCTCTTTCCTCCCTCCCTGGGCCTGGCTCCCTGCCCCCTCCCTCGTTCTAGTCCTCTCGCTGTATCATTAATGCCTTCATTGATACAGCCCACAGCCTCATGATTATTCTGAGGTCAGGAGACGCAGGTGGCACGCAGCTCGCTAACGCGCCTCAGAGGGCCTCTGTCCCCGGTCCCTCCCGCTCGACAGGGCTGGAATCCTAATGCGCCACTGGCCCCTCTGCTCGGTGCAGCATGACCGGGAACTTTCATCTTTCTACTTCTCCCACCGAGGATCCCGAGAGTTCAGCCACAATGAAGCATTGATCCGAGGAGTGGGGGCTGTGGCCCTGACAAAGGACCCCAATGATGAGACACGAGAAAGGGGGCGCTCTGCGGGGTTATAGAATGCCTTGCAGATGGGAACAGAGGAGTTCTGAATGGGGTACTGTCCTGGCACTTGGAGAGGGAGTGACAGGGGCAAGTGTGGGCCATTTGAAAGGGGCATTTTGAAATTAGGCTCTCGTCAGATGGAACCGTGCAATCAGAGACGTGTGGCGGGTCCCTGCAGCTCACAGAAATATCAGATGACTCATAGCCAATATTCAGTGTTCTGGTCTGGGCGGTGGGAGCCGCAGAGCTCATTACCATTCCGGCTCCGTGTCCTGAAGGCCGGGCCTGCTGTTCTCCAGGCTGTGATAGGATTGGTCTCCCGCAGCAGAGGCTGGGGGGCCTGGGCTGTGTGGGTGGACAGCATCGGAAACTGATGCTGCAGTCCGGCGGGGAGACGGGAAGGTGGGTTTTCTTAATGAAAAACAAGGAGAGAAAAATTAATTTTGTTCATTCATTCAGCAAACACTAATATGGCATCAGACTCTGCGCTAGATGCTCAGGGAAGGCGGGATCCCCCCGCCCCTCAAGCCTCAGAGCCGGGGGTGGGGGGGACTGACAAGAAAACCAGGTGTTTCAATACAGTGCTCTGAAGGGGCTGGGTGGCTCTGTGGATTTAAAAGGCAGAGCGATTTCAAGGAGAGCACTAATTATTCCTCCATTTCTCTCTACTGATAAGCAACTCATTCAAAGCGAAGCATCCCGGGAAGCCGGTTCAACAGTATCCGTTTCAAACCCCTCTTCTGAAAAAAAAACACACGGTTTTCCTCCGACTCCAGCAAGATAGTGAAATCCCTGAGAGTGTCTCGATACCTTCAAAGGGCCAGCTTACTCCCTGGGATAAGAGCATTTGTTATTAGTACCTCTTCAGTCATTGCTCTAGGCGGGGCTCCGGGCTTTGACTATATTATCTCACTCGATCTTCTCACCCGCTTCCTAAGATGGGCTTTCACACGAAGTCACTCGTGCCTGGTTCCGGAACGGAGCTTTGAACTCGGCTCTGCTTGGGCCCAGCGTCTGGGTTCTGCCGCCGGCCCGCCGACCTCGGGCTTGGCCGGGATTGCTGGCGCTTCCTCCCACAGGCCGGGATTGCTGGCGCTTCCTCCCACAGAGCCCGGTGCGAAAGGGCTCTGTGTCCAGCTCCCTAAAGCGGGGATCACGGACCACCATCATCACCACCGCCATCAGCGTCACCACGGGGCTTTCTTGACTCTTGCTTGGCATCTAATGAAAGAAAGAAAGAAAAAAACAAAAAGCCATAGCCACGGGCCTGTCTCTGCTGTCTCGCCCTCTGACTTTAGTCCCCCATCTCACCTCTAAGCTTCTATTGCCGTGTCTGTAAAAATGGACCTGGCAGTCCCTTTGCGGGAATAGCAAGAGCTAACTTTTATCGAGTCCTTAATGCCTGCCAGGTTTGAGGCTAAGCTTTCACATAAACATTCGTGCAATCCGCACCGCGGCCCGGTGTGGCGGGGTGACCGGGACGGGGCGGGACACTGCCCAGCACTACCTCGGCTCCTGCGTGCGGGGCCGGGGCTGTAGGCCGTCTCTGCCCGGCCTCCGGTCCCAAGCTATTTTCAGGGTGGCGTTGTGAGGCGTAAGTGAGGAAACGGGAGTGGATGTGTCCTGTGCAGGGCAAGAGGTGTGAGACGCACGGAAGGGATCGTTTGTAGCAGGAAAGAGCCGAGAAGCGACTTGCACAGAAACGGGGGCGGATGAGAGGCCGCTGAGCTGGCCACCTTGCATATTCCTACCTGTTCTTCCCCCGCTGCCTGTAGGGCGGAGTGTCTCCCTTACCGGGAACGCCGGCGGCTGGAATCTGGGGACAGGCCTGCTGTCGTTCATACAGGTGCTGGGGGCAGTGGGAGGGAGGCCTGGCGGTGCACGTTGTGACGGACATGCCACTGAGTTGAGAGTTGGGGGTAATGACATCTTTCTCACCTGTTTTGAAAAACCGCGATCAGGATCATGCAGGATCATCAGTATGGGAGCCCCACGCCGTGTCTAGAGTGATATCAAACATAATTGGTTTTTGTTGAGGTTGCGTGTTCTGTAACCTCGTGGGAGAATCTGTGAGGAGGGTTGAAACGTCCGATGCAGGTTAGGGTTACTTCCTCTTGCTGATTTTTTTTTTTTTTTTTTTTT